AGATCTGCTCGAAATTGACCGGCGAGTTTGGCTAACACAAGTCAAATCAGTCATGCTAGCAAAACGTGCACAATCCAAGATTACTACAGCCATGGAAATAACTGAAGATAGTGAGCAGCTCGATTATGAAAATCTTGTCAATGAACGTTTACAAGAAATCACCCACAAATTTCAACTGTACAATAAATATTTGAATGACAAGAAAAGTCAATTGATTGGATATACATCAACTGTGGAAGAAGCCATTGTTCGACATGTCCAAAACTACGGTATTATTCTACTTCAAATGAAAAGTGATCTTAAAATAGCTTTACTAAAACATGATTATAATGCTATTATACTTCAAAGAAAATATGAACAAGGAAAACCAAATGAGTATCAAGTAGGCGAATTATGGAATGTCAAATTTTGTTGAAACTCGAACTATCATCTTTCTACATTATTTAGTTCGAAATTGCCGAGCGACTATGTGCAGCCAAGTATGAACTTGAAAAATCGAAGCGTGAATTGATGGAATTAAAACAGAAAGTCTTCTATCAAAAATTACCTGCTTTCATCAATGATATCGATCCATCACTATCGTTCACTATTGATCCTACAACAACTTCGAATTCACATTTATTATTCAACGATAAACATGAAAACCTATTTCAACGAAAGAAACTTGATGTACTTGCTCCACATATAGCGAAAGCTGAAACGAAATATTACCAAGCTGACAACAGCTTCGATTCAGAATATATGAAAATGCTCAATAATCATCGGAATCTTGTACGGAACAAAGGAATGACTACAGGATTAAGTAGCGTATTAGAACATCGTCCTGCCACTATTACTGATCGGTTTCGAGATATTTATTATTATCGAATTAACTTCTTTCTTCGAAGTTCTTATGGAGATTTGGACAATATGTACACTCCAACCAAAACTAAACACAATGTCAATATCAACGGATCCTTATCAAATCTAATCAGTGATACTAAACATCTATTAAATCAAAAACAGATACAACTACTTAGTCGCGGACCAACTTATGTTCCACCATGCCAATCTCGACTTCCGTCTTCATCAAAATCGATCACACGAACAGATATTGTGAAGAAACAATATGCACCATTGAAACATCAACTGGCTAGTCTCTTCTCAAAACATCGTCTACAAATTGCTCTATCATGGGGCATTCATAGAGATATCCATCAAAAGTTTATTGATCTCTTTGACATTCCAGTGCCGCATCATGCTCAACAACGCGCCATCGACGAAATGACATTAGTTCGATCGATACAATCTACTTTGAAAAGCGATAATCTCATTCTACGACGAACAGCTGACAATCAGAATACATTTTACTTAACAAGCTATCCAGATTTTCAAGCGAAAGTCAACGAAATTCTTTCGCAATCATCAGATATATATGAATTCATTGTTACTATCGGCAAAAAAAGTACTGAAGAAGGAGACGACGACGACGGCGACGACGGCGATGATGAAAAACAATTACCAAAAGATTCTCAATATTTATTGAGAGAACGAATTGAAGGAATCAATTTTGCATTAGAAACCTTGAAAAAACGGAAAGCATTGCCAGATGCAGCGATCAACAAATTATTTATTGACCTGAACAAAGTCAAATTTCCATATTTGTATTTTTTACCTGATGTTTCCAAAGTAAGTCATTTGTCGATATGTATACTTTTCTGCTTGTTATTCTTTCATGCATACATGTTTTATTCGAACAGGACAACGAACTAACACTTGCACCGACGATAATAGCGCATCAAAGCATGACATCGAATATTGCTAGATATGTTGATAAATTGATTCGACCATTTGCTGATGAAAAAGTGAAACATTTGACATTTTCCAATGAAGCTGATTTCATGAAAAAACTAATGTATTATGCATATGAACAACATCGTTTAAAGCCAACGACTCTCTTTTGTACAATACAGATTACTAACTTCTACTCACTGGATACACACGAAACAATGATTGAGACAATTACTTCTTTTCTTCGGGACAAATCAGCATACAATACGATTAACAAAGTATCAGTTAATACTATCAGAAATCTTTTACAGCTATTTCTTTACCAAAACCTATTTTCACATCGAAATAAGATCTATGTGATAAAAAAGGGTAGTCCAAACACAATGTCACTGAGTCAAACATTGGCCAATATCTACTTATATGATTGGCAACAGAGTATATTGAATCAATTCGAATATAATCAAGAGTTATTCGGCCGGTTAGTATATTTTCTCTACTCGACGGCAATACTATTTAATATTCCACTAACTATCTTTTAGACATAAAGATCAGATATTTTTCACCTGGAATAAATCTTATGACATACTCTCTTCGTTTCTACAATCTTTGAAAAACCAAAAGTCCAATGTTAATTTTCGATTATCTATCGGTACAAATGTACATTACTTTAATGCTTATGTTGAAAACCAAAATGGTCAACTATACACACGAGTATATCATGATCCAAGGATTCCCCGTTATGCATTGCCATATTTTACTGGTCATTCTAAAGTACAACATAGTAATTGGCTTCGGTCGGCACTCCTTCGAGCCGTTTGTTATTGTTCAAACGTGGAAGATTTTCACCAAGAACGCATCTATCTTGAACTTACTTATCTTGCCAATGGATATTCATTTTTCTTTGTAGAAAGTCATGTGCAAAATTTCTTTGACTATTTCGAGACGAAATCGATGCGGTACCGTTCAGATCAAACACGTTATCATTCATTTCGTCGACAATGGTTTGATTTTCTTCACATGCAAAATAAACGTTCCGAACAACTTCAACAGTTGGATGATGAAAATAAAGTAGTTCGTCTTGATTATTATTATGATTACGGCCCACGATGCGAATTTAATAAATACTTTTATCAACAATGGTCGAACTATTTTAAACCAACTTCAAATCTATCAACTGAGAAAATGAAAATTTTACTATCAACTAAACATGTTCATTCACTCAATGCCTTATTATGCTCTCGACTTTGATGAGCTCAAATGCTAGAATTGTGTGTGTGTATCACCTGTAAGATGTGCCCATAAATATATATTCAATAATAAAAATAAAGCTCCAACTTCTCATACATCCAGAAGAATTCATTGATATCTCATGTTCTATTTCTTGTTTCAGACACATTTTCATTCGATTTCAAACATCTTAGCAACAAACGCTCGAAACGATTCTGCATATTATTATTATTTAAAGCGTTGTAATTCCAACTGCGACATCGAAATGATACAATACAATACAACATTATCCAAGTCTGACCGACGAGAACAATTAGTTGCTCAGCTAAGTGTTCTACCTACGTTCAAGCCAGTCAACGAATTTGTAGTATATCATATTTATGATACCACCTCTGAATCACTATTACACTATCTGATTTCCATGGCACGCACAACAACAAGATATACTATTGATACTGAACACGATTGCTTCACGAATGAAGCTGCATTGATTCAAATCGAATTCATTAAACAAAAGTCAATTGTTCTTCTGATCGAAACGTGCTATCTACCAGAACCAACATCAGTTACATTTTGGTTGATCCAATCACTTTTCGCCGCCATTTTAAATCCAGTCAACCTAGTCTATGCGTGGGGTGACGCCGTGCATGAATTAACTCGATTTTTACATTACGATTTGTTTTCATGGACTGTTCTTCAGCGAATGGGTACTATCAACATGCAACGTGCCTTCAAAGCATGGTATAACAGAGTCTTCGTTCATGATTGTGGTCTGCACCCACATGAAACAGATTCGACGCTTTGCACATGTGAACATCGACCAGTTAAAGATAAAAACTATCAATGGTCGCTTCAAAAAGCGATTGCATACACATTTCAAGAATATCTCGACAAACGACGAACAAGGAGTAAATGGCATCGTTGCCTTCGCAGCCGAAACGAAACTGAACAAGAACTATGCAAGGAATTGGTTTTATATGCCGTCAATGATTGCTTATCTGTTACGAAATTACGAATGTTGGTGGAGTTCAACTGGACCAAGGAGCAACTTGACAGATACAATCGTAACAAGTGACTTATACATATGTGGTAGGGAATATACACACATACTCATATCTATTATTCATCTGATGTTATCTAGAACGAGAACAAAATCATATGGAAGATGACGCCGATCAGAACATGTTTTTTTTCTTTATGTCTCAGTGTATTTCGATTGTACTCAACTGTTTGTGTGTGTCTTATTGAAGCTTCCGAAAATAGAGAAAGATTAAATACTTACCACTTTACCTCGTTTTTCTCGATGTTCTCAGATTGTAGATACTATTGACACAACATTTATTCTTGCATTCTAAACAATGTGTGCTGTAGAACAAACATATAAAGAAAAAAGTAAGAAGAATCTCGACTTACTGTCTATCTTTATCATTAAAGTAAAACAAATAATTCTTCTTGATTTCAGATGACTTCGAACAACAGGTTGAAAAGGCATGTGGTACAAAGAGAGTTAGTGGTCACTTTAAATACATCTCTTTTTTTTGATACAGCGACACAATCCGTTGCCGACTAGCGGTAACAACGACGCGTCCATAAAAAATAATAGCGAAGAATACGACAGTGGTAACCAACTACAGTACATCAACACGACGCCGCCTCTAATCGAGTTTCTGCGATGCTATGTCCGAGTTCAACGCTGCCAAGTAAGAGATGACACCATCACAAAGCAAAAGCTATCTAGTATAGTTTGGATCATTTTTGACAGATTGAAAACTCTGGTATCACATATAGTGAAGCAATATCAGCAACTTTTCAGAAATGTTCGGAAGAAGACGAAGAAGAAAGCAAACAAATAGAACAGAATGCAGTAACAGTAAATCCAGTACCAAGACTAAACACAGACGAATCGGAAGAACGATGGTATGGAGAAACACTCGGCTTCGACGACTTCAATATGCTCGAAAACTACATCTATACCGACTAATGACACAAAATGATTCAAAAGAATATCCTCTAGTGTCTAACTTCATCGATATTGTTTACATTATAATAATACCCTACAAATAAAATTGTATAGTTATTGTAAAGAAGAAGATGAAGAAGGAAGAGATATAAAAATTGCTAAGCGTATCGCTCTGCTTCATTTCAGATACAAATTTTTCATCGCATCTATCATTGTATTTGGATTGTTATTGTACCACGTTACAACCTTTGAAAAAAGCTGATATTTCCATTTGATTCAATGAATTCAAGTAATGAGAGGCTCTCATGTGCACTGAGTGCGAAAAGAAACCAACGTTTAATTTCTTGCCAGATTCTAATAAACAACCAGAAATCATGGAGACGGATGATACGGCGAAATCTTCATTGCAAAATGAACAACTTCCAAATTTGCCAACGCCGATTACATCAGAATTACATGTACCATCACCACGAACATCAACACCATGGAAACCAAGGCCGAAGCAAACGTCAAGAAAACGATTGGTTCGATTTAATCTTCCCGAAGCAAACATATCGGCTTCACCGCCGACTATTTCATCATTATCAAAAAGCATCATGAAAATGACAATTGTCAAGGAAACAGACGAATAGTCATTTAGATAATTATTACATCAAGCTCTAGATTCTATGCAAAACTTTCTTGTCAACTATTTCTCTCTATGCATATTCATGTTTTGTTCATTAAACTTTATTTTGTTGTGCTTAACATCTTTTACGTTCTTCCTCTCTATTCATCGAAGAACATTTTGGTTTGAATAAAGTTCATATTCCTATTCCAGATAACAAAACATCTTTTCTTATACTAATCAATGAATCAGTCCTGCACTACATCAACTTTTAATCAACCTCACTTAGGTAGTAAATGCATCACAAAATTAAGTGTCCAGTAGTAAGAATTTACCATCTTGAGGGTGATGATGTAGTCTTATACGAAGAAATTAAGAAAAATCTGTTACCGTAGTCTTTATTCAGTGTTGCCACACTCTCTGATATTCTTTGGTCGAAATATATTCATGTTGTATGTTCTAGATTAAATTGTATAGTTCGTGATATTCTCTTCGATGACTGACCACAGTGATGTTAACGACAGGAATAGCTGGTCATATCCAGATTTACAATCACAACTATCTGAACAACCGAGGACATTTGTCTATCAAACACAACCATTTACGATAAGCGAACAGTTAGCAGAGAAAAAGAAGAAAGAAAAGAAATGTCATGGTAATCGAAAGCTGCAACACTTCAAGCGCAAGTGTCGAGCCCGTGGTTTAACTGAAGAGCAAATTCAGGGTTTAATTCAAACGAAACATCACACAATATCTGAACCATCTATAAGTGTTCAACTAGCTACGAGCCGTCCAAATCAGTCAAATAAACGGAAGAGAGACTTATCTAAACAAAATCTTGTCTACAATTCAATGAAATCACTCAGTCAATTATCATTATCAAAGAGGAAGAAGGCGAGATATAATAGTAGGTCGTTAAGCAGTAAAGACAACACCAGTAGTTCAAATAGCCATACTTGTACTGTATACAAACAATCAAAATATTTGAGGATGCCACGGAAGCTACTTCTACATTCATTACGTCTACAGTTGAAGCATCCACTGAAACGGAAAAAAGAACGACACTTCATTGTAGAACGTCTTCAACTACTTGATCAACAGTTCTATCTCGACTATATTCGATGCCTCTATCAAACTTATTTTGATCAAGGTCTTAAATTTCATATGTGGCCTGTAAGTGTTGATGATACTGTTTCATTATCATAACCAGTTCGCATCTCTTTCATAGGATGATATCCTTAAGATTGCGCAAACAACAGAACGCAGTGTCATCCAAAAGTATCTCGAAGAGCACTTGATATTATTACGAGACAAAATCAATCATCATCGTGTCCACTGACTTTATCTTTACTGGAGATTGTCGATGCGCGACTGCATGGATTTGCTCGTCTGCATCATATTGACTTAATGAGGACGATTCGTTTTCGAATCAATAAACTCAAAGACGAAATTCCTGAAAAACAACTCTTTCAACACTTATCTTACTATTATTTAAATAATGATCAAGTAATTTTCATCTCGTAACCTCTGTTTACCATCGATTCGATGTTCCTAGTTTAAAGCAATTTCTCGATTGACCACTATTCGCAAGAAACAATTGAAGATATTCGAAGAACGAACCATGCTTGAGCAAGAAATCTTATGCCATCGGCTACCAGAATCTCTCGACTCCATAGTACCGAATCTTGATGTGAAAAAGCTTTCACAAAAGCATTGTAAAATGGTACAAGAGCTAAAACAGTTGACATTAAACTTAGAATTACAGCGATATGAAGAGGACATCCATCGTTATGAACAGCTATACCAAGAAGAATTCAATAAGCTTCAACAACAAATTCACAATCCAACACCATCTGACTACAAACATCAAATAGATATCTTAGTGTACTCTGTCGAATCCTATCTAGATAATTATAAGTATATACTTTTACGCCAAATAAGACACAGAGAAGCATGTTTTCATACAAATTTGATCCGAAAACGTCGTCGTCGACAATCGCTTATGACATAAAACAACATTCAGGCACATCCACAAATTATTGTCGATGTTCCAAAAGTAGCTTTAAACGATACCCAACTACAATTTCTCTCACAAAGCGGTATTTACAAATCTATAGTTTATTGTTGGTTCTGTTTTTCTTCTTCTTTGCAAAGGTCCCAGTTAAATTCGACCGAACCAAAATTATCTTCCCTGTGATCAACAATAACAGAAACAAGTCGATCGAGAATTTAACAGAACTCTTGACGTAATCATTCCTTATTTCATGCGTGTCTATCATATGTCACCAACATCAACAATCATCAACCGACTCTCCCATAAATTGGCTACTTATCTATGTGAACAGTACATGACTCCAATCTCTTATCTTCATGCTCATCGTGCTACGGATAAAAGTGGCATATTCCATATTGGTGACGCCAACGATTATGAACAAAAAGCAGAAGCTTATCGAGAAAAAACGAAGGCGTATATCGAACTAGAAAATGATCTCCTATGTGTAGTTTTTGACAAAGCAGTCAATTTGATAAAATGATGTCGAAACGAGAGGACACTCAACTAGCTTATCTGTATTATGTTCCAAAACCACATAAGGTAATTTTTGAAAGTTCTTTCTTTCCTATCAATCTAAATTCCGTTTGTATTGACAGGAAGGAACACCATTAAGACTGATTGTATCCTCAATGCATATACCAACAACCTATTTGTGCACATTTGACATCACAGATTCATGTGCAATGTTACCACAGGAAGAATCTCTCGACATTCTAACTGAATTTCTTCTGGAACACGGATATACCAAAGTGAATGCAGTGCCCATTGATGCCATTCGGAAATTAGCTCGTCTCGTTCTCACAGAAAATGTATTCACTTATGAGAAAAGATTCTATCGGCAGGTGGTCGGCGGTGCTATGGGCTCCGCATTTACTTTGACTTTAGCCAATGTTTTCTTATGGAAATGGGAAAAACGATTAGTTCAACAGCAGCTAAATACAAACGAAATCTATGGAAGGCATGTTCAGTATCTTAGGAAAAGCGCTATTGTCTCAATATACTCTATTTATCTTTTATAGATATATCGATGATATCTTCTTTACTTCGAATCAACCACTGAACAAAATCAATGAAATGTTAGATAACGCCAACGATTTCCATCCAAATATCAAATTAGTTCGGCAAATTGGTAAGAATGTACCATTCTTAGATGTCCTTATTGAAAATGATCATGGTACATTGAAAACATCTGTGTATCACAAAGAAGCAGCCGAGCCATACACAGTACCATTTAATTCTGATCATCCTCATCATACCTTCAGAAATGCCATTGACACAGCACTTTTGCGTGCTGTACGCTATTCATCTACACTATCAACTTTTCAAAAAGAACAACGTACAATCAAACTAATGCTTCTTTACAACAAGTAATTCGATTTATTTCTATATGTTCACAGCCCGGTTTATTCGATATCTTCTAACTATGCACCACGGTTTATCTACAGTAGATTCCACAATTTCATCACTTCCTATGCCAAAGCTTCAAACATCCAACCATTCATACATGACGAAAACCAGTTCAGAGCGATCCGACAGAAAATGCTCAACATTCCAACTATTCCAGAATATCGAATGGCGTCCAGAATCGAAGGAGGTAAAGCTACTCCTGATCATGAGTCAGTGAAAACTGGTGTACCCAAAACGAAATCAACAAAATCTTCGAAATGGAACAATCAACTCATAATTCATTACACTCACGAGCAACGGTTACAAAACTACAAACGAGATCTACACCGACTTTGGAATGAAACATATCGATCAACACCAATCATTCACACAAGACTAATCGTTGGTAACAGAAACAATAGAACGTTAGCACGAGAGTTAGTACGCCATCGACACATTAAACAACAGCCGAAACATCCGTGACAGCCAGCCGAGACATTGACTCCACGCCAGACATACATTTCAAGCATCGTAGACTTTTCTGTACATATTATTTCTAATAAACTACTCATTTCGGCATGAACTTTTTCACATATCTCAAACATTCACACGCAACCCATATCTTGAACAAAACGTATATTCAGAACTTCGCCTATAACAAATAACAATACACTACATAGCATTTCTGGGTATCATACATACACACAACGCATAGAGAAGCTGACGATATCAGATACAAAGTCAAAACTACCTGATGAGATTGCTTAAGCAACAGTCGAAACGCGTCGTAGAATGCTTGACTCACACCCTCACCCACCCCCTTCACCCTCACATATAATCTGCCCTATTCACCACCGAATTCCGTTTACGGAATTCCGGAATCGTAGGAATCGATTCCGTGTGCGGAACTGGTTCCCAAATGTTCAACATTGCGGAATAGGATGACTGCTCGATTATTCGAATCATATAATTTATTCTTGGCGTGATTATATCACAATCAAACCACCAGCTCGCACTCAAGCTCGAATTAATGATCAAAGTTTTGCTTTGTCTCTTGATCGTGCGAATAATTCATATGTTGGTGTTATTGGAATTAGCCCATTAGCTTCTCTCATCTCAATTCCCAAACAATCGAATATGGATTATTTTCATTTGACATTGGAGGTTCATTTGGTTCGCTTACTTAAAAACTGGAAACTTCATCTTACAAATCAAGAAATTACGCTAATTGACAATTATCTTTGTTCAATAACGTATCCTCATACATTCCGTCGTATGCCATTTCTATTTTCCAGATTCCACGAGTGGAAAGCATCACAACTTCGAACATTTCTAATCTATGATGTTATGCCTTTATTATTCGTTTTTATGAAAATTTTTCCAGGTGATCGTGCTGTTCATTTCTCACTGTTTTTCTTAATTTATATTCGAACTTTGAGATTTATCTGCAACCGAAACGATATTGAACCGATGAAACATTTCATTATTGCTTATTTAAAAGATATTCATTATTTTTATGGCGACTGTGCCCAATTATACTCTACACATGCTTTGTATAATCTCTACGAGCAAGTTTTGGATCACGGCTCATTATCATTCCACAGGTATACCGTCAAACGAAATGTGAATAGATCTTTTTTGTTAATCTAAACTGCGAAATAGAGCTGTCTGATCAAAAAACATTGAAAGAACATTATGGAATCTGTTAGAAGATATCGAACAGATAAGAGAATCATGTTTCAAATTTATGATATTGAATATTCGTAGTACTGACATGGGGAGTGATTTGTCTTCATAGGCACGTCTGGTTTTAAATACCGAGCAAAGATAGAACCTCACTATCTGTTTTATATTAGTATGATTGGTATTGAAAGTGCATTACATCATTTGGATAAATTAGCTAGTGGTACAACAGCTTTAGGTAGTCAAATTGCATACTGGCATTCTATTTATGCTGATTTGTCGTCAAAGACAACAACGTATACTCGTCAACTATTCGAAAACCAAGGACCAGTGAACGATCACAATTATATCGATGAAAATCTCGTACAAATGTACAAGAAAGATTTTAATTCTCTTTTCCTTAGTTATTTTGGCTGTCAGGTCGATTCATGCGTGCATTTCTTTTCTCGGTATCGGTGTGGGTTATATACATTCCATTCTCTAGCATATACTCGTCGTGGTCGCTCCTCCAGTTGCAATATAGCCATATATGAACCGTCATTGGTCGATATTGTTGTGGGTGAAATTCTTTTCTTTTTTCATTACAACAATGAATACTTTTTTCTATTTCGACAATTTGAAAATTCCGTTCTTCGTTGTTCGTCTCTCTTTGAGATGGATCCTGGAGTACCGTCATGGAGTGAAAGAATTGACAACTTCTATTCATTTATCAATTGTAACACGTCGTCTCTTGCGTTATATTCATGTTCCAGAATTAAGAATAAGTGTATTCTTTTCCCCTTCAATGACTACTTGAAAATTTGTACAGAAATTGAACATGAGTTAGAACATGATTGAAAAATAACATTCTGCCATTGATTTTTGTCTTATTCGTTTTTCTTCTAGATTTCTTTCCAGCTGTTTAAGAAATATCTTTAATTTTTCCCGAAATTCATGGCATCGTCTAGCTTCTTTAGTCCTCAAACCGTTCGTCGTAGTGCAACTAAAAGCTCAATCTCCATTGTTGCTGGAGCACCACGATATGGCACTCAGCAATCTGCTAATAACAAAGTCTTGTCACAAGCTACAACAGGTAATAATTCCATTAGTAATTAAAACAATCTTAGAACAAACGAAATTGCAGATGAAAATATTTCTTATCGATATCGAAATGTCTCTTCTCAACAACGTGAACTCAATGCTTCTCGAAAATCAATTGAAACACATACAAGTAAGTTATTTTGAAAAGAACAGTATTCTAACAGATAAAGTTCTCGATTGTGACTTATATTCTTGTCCTATATAAACAAGCATGCAGTATAACAGTGGTTTAACGACGAATTTACTTCCGAAACATTGATTATAACAAATTTCTTTGTTTTGTATAGATCCACAGAGCCCTTCTATTAAACGACGTTTTCATGAAACTGATCTTGCTGATTCTCTTGCAGAAATTCGAGAACAAATGCAAGCTCTTCGTCAAAGTAACGATGCTTTACATACTAAACTCGATGACGCTCGTGAAGCAATTCGGCTGTTAAATGATCAACAACAAAAGTCAAACAAAAAACTCAATCAAATAAGTCATATAAAGAATAATGTAAGATTTAAACAATTATTCTGCTTTGTATTTCTGTTTTTTTTTCAAGAACTTTCAAGGATATGACACTCCTAAACGGTTTCCTATCATTGTAAGTAGGATTTAGTCCAGATTCTTTTCCATTCATCTTATTCGATCTTCTGTTCGAAACATTTTCGTACTCCTTTGTCGATAAGTACTTTACAACCTATCCGAGATCGTGAGATAGTCATTTGAATAGCAATCAAAATCGTATCGAGTAAAAAGTTTTTTTTCTTGATAAATTTAGGAGTTTAATGGAAAGAATTTAATGATTCATCATCAACCTCCAAATCAACCCGCACTCTTTATGTGTAAATTGATTAGAGATCTGTATACGGACGATGAGATTGAAGCTGGCATTGCTGACGATGATCTTCTTGATGCGATTAAAAGTACGTTTACTTTGTTTTATTACAAAAATATTGACATTTTCTTCCTTAGACGCTGTTGAAGCAGCATATTTTCATGCAGAGCCGAAACAGTTTGAATTTTGGTGGTGGGATGAAGGAAAAAAATCTCGCGCTGGACAACGACGAAAACAACGAAGTACTAACAAGAAAAAACCTCAGTAAGTTTCAAATAATGTTATTAGCAATCTGATGTTGTCGAGAGTAATCCAAATCATTAAAAGAATCTGTCAGCACATGATGCATTCAATCACGTTGAACGATCATCAAACGTAGAATTATTTATGAATAAGCTTGACGCGATCATTTCCAAACGATATCTTCATCAAAAAATTTTATTTTTAAGATAACAATCGATAAAAAGCTCCATTGAATATTCTCGTTTGTGATAATTTTTTATTTAGTGTTCATCAACAAATCTTTGGTAATCATGAATCTAATGATAAAGAAACAAACTCGGTGAAAAATGCTGACGATTCTTCACTCAACGAATCTTTTTAGTACAATTTTACTCGGTGATTTAATATCGAATATTTCTTTTATATTCTCTCTCGTCCTTTGGCTGTCATATCTTTGAAAGGCATTTTTGCTGTAACCACTTCTATATTTTTACTGGCTGTGACATTTTAGCATCATATTCGTCAATTTGCTTTATTTCGTTTGGTCTATTCGGTTGTGACTTTACAAGACGTCGAATTATGTGTTACCATACAAACAAATTGCAATTGTGATCTTTTATTTTTGAAATTAGTTATTTTTCTCTTACGAAATTGAACTGTACTACGTGTTCTCAATATGTCTTCTATGGAACTTCCATAATTCTCAATAAAAAGCTATGGAAGAAAGGAATCGGTCTAATATGATCAGTCATATTTCGCTTCAATAGATCTCATTCTGAAAAATTAACCAATCAGAAAATTACAAAAGTGCATTAATGCACTTGCGGCACGCATACCGAAGAAGTGTACCGTACGCGTACTGTTAGCGAACCTATCGATATCGACATGGGATACGATAATTTATCGTGCCACTTGTGAACTGATTAGTGGGACCGAGACTAATGTTCTATGACTTCTATCAAGTGATTGGAATATCGGATTTAATATCGTGATACTTGTTGTCGAATGGATGTTACGAAAAAGGAGCCAAAACGAGGAACTCTCGAATCGTTTTTCGTCTCTGCTTCGGCGAAAAAGCAGAAGAACAATTGCCATCCACCGCCAACAAACACTGAATGTTTGTAGCAAACCACGCAAGATGATATTGCACCTCTTTCGTCATCAGAAACGCATGTTTCACTGATAATCACTGACCGTGAGTGTACCCGACAGTCAGAACTAGTCGAAGTATCGTCTCCCATATCAAGCGAGCAAGTCGAGTTCACGATACCATCAGCGACAGCAACGCAAATCGCTCTTATTCCTGGTGACATTAGTCGCTCTGGCAAAGAACGTCCGGCTCAACCGAAACTAGTCTTCTACAAAAAGAACAAAGACAATAGATCCTTTCAACCACAATGGTTTTCAATGTTCACGTGGATCGAATACTCCACAGAGCGCAACAGTGTTTTTTGCTTCTATTGTCGCCATTTCGTGTCCGGAAATCTAAACAGTCGAGTATGTATTTGTCTACTTAAGAAATTGTTTTTGACTTTTTGGCTTCATGTTCATGCTGGTTGATGCTGGTTAACTGCAAATAGTTCATTTTTTCTCATTTATGTACCAGAATCAATCAGATTCGTTCGTCACCTGTGGTTACGACAACTGGAAACTTGCTCTAGTGAAAGAGCGGGGCTTCTCGAAACACGCAAGCACCGCCACACACATCCAAGCTTCTGCGAATTATCAAGAATACGTAGCACGTTCGGAACATCAAATGGCAGTCACAAATGTACTGGATCATGGGAGAATCCTTCAGATACAAAAGAATCGAGAGCGCCTGATGAAAATTGCGTCGACTTTGCACTTTTGCTCAAGGCAAATGATCGCATTTTGTGGTCATGAAGAAAATGAGCTGTAAGCTAGTCTTGAAAAAGAGTTTTTTATTCTAAAAGTTTCAGCAATTTGAATTAGTTCTAGAAACTGTGGAAATTTCATTGAGCTTTTAAAGCTGATGTCTTCGAGGGATCCAGTTGTGCAATCCATTCTCGAGAATAGTTCTGGAAACGCCACCTATCTTTCAGCGACTATCCAGAATGAATTAATACATGAAATGGCAAATCAGGTTCGAGAACAGATATCAAAAAAGGTAGGTTTTGTTTTGCGTTTCTATAGCTTTCGAATAAGCCAATACTACGTTCTTTGTTGTCCACAGCTTCGAGGATGTGTTTTTGCCTTAATGGCCGACGAAACTCGTGACATCAGTGGACATGAACAATTGAGTATTGTCGTCTGGGTTGTATCCAGTGAAAGAGTTCCTGGCGGCACAGGGTTTTCATCGAAACATACAATCACTTTCAACGAATACTTGGTCGGATTAGTAAAATTGGATGCATTTCATGCGCAAACATTAGCCGATGAGATAGTTCAATACTTCTCTTCGTTAAATATTTCATTGAACAAGTGTGTCGCAATGTGTTTCGACGGGCAAGACAACATCCTAGTGTATCTTCTTTTCTCCAAACTAATCCTATGTGAATATCACTTTTCATTGAAGGGCGTCAGTAATGAGCGGGAAACATGCCGGTGTCCAAGCTATTTTGCGACAGAATTTTGCACCTGGTGCAATTTATATTCATTGTTATGCTCATCAGTTGAACTTGGTTATTTGTGATGTCTCTCAAGTCGTGCTATATTTGCCTGAATTTTATTGTGTACTCTCGAAGATCCACTCTTACTTTTCGCACTCAAGTGTGACGAATGAATGGTTCAAGTGTGTTCAAAAAGAATTGAAACTGGGTATGGTCATTTGAATATTGAATAGATTCAGATAAGCAAAAGCAATCTTCTTCCATAGATAACGCTCACAGTATATCATTGAAAGCGTGGGCTGAAACACGATGGGACAGCCGCTGGTCTTCTATCGATTCAATCCAGCGAAATTATGGAACTTTACTCGTTTGTTTTCAAGAACTAGAAGCTGAAGCAACAAAAAGGTCCGTCGATGCAAGAGGTCTTCTACGGGCTATGAAAAAGCCCACTTTCGTTGTGACACTCTTTATTTTACATAAAGTACTGGGAATAATAAAGATTCTTTCCGATCAATTGAAAGGTAGATACTTCAAGCACAGTGCTTCGTTCTTCAACAGTTTGCTTTTCTTTCCACAGCGAAATCAATGGACTATGGTCGAGCAAAATACCTCATACGAAAGGTTATTAGTCAACTCTCTGATCTTCGGACTGAACAGTCGTTCTCGACAATCTATGAACAAGTTTCGAATTATTGCATTGCCAATAACATTGATTTAACACCTGATCCGAAAGAAAAGCGTGCAAGAAATATCCCTGTTCGATTCAAAGATGTTTTCATTACGTCCACAGTCGGTCATCGTGATCTGCAGAAGAGCGAAGATGATTACAGAACGACTCTGTACTACCCTATCATTGATTCGACATTGTTGAAGTTGAATGATCGCTTTTTTGATGACAATATTCTTATTCTGAATGGCATATCTGCGCTGTGTCCAGAAAGCGATAGTTTTCTTCACTTGGAATCGATTCATCCATTGGCAACACAAATGAATGTTGATTTTCCGACTTTGTGCAACGAGATACAAGTCCTGAAGCCTATGTTGAAAGATAAAACAATGAACAACATTGTTGATTTATACACCGAGATATTACCTTTAAAATCAGCTTTTTCTCAGCTGACGACGCTTCTTCTCGCTGCAGTAACAATTCCTATCTCTTCTAAGACGTGTGAACGAACATTTAGCAAGATGAAACTAATTAAAACAAAAACACGCAATAGTGTGAAACGTTTGACTGATTTAATTATTCTAAGATATTTCGATTACAAAACTTTATTAATGAAACCAACTAAATCGCAACTTGTCGAGATGGAAAGACTAGATAAACTATATAAAGAAATACAACTGCGCTTTGCTCAAGATTTCTAACAATCTTTTTCTGTTTCGCCAAATTTTTCTCGTTGCTACTAGTATTCATGACACAATGTTATGACCTCTCAATAAAAAATGCGTTCTCAGCTCATACCAATTTTACAAAATACTAGCTATTTTGCTTTCGAAAGTTAATAAATAGTAAAACACAAACATTTTACTCGTTTCATCCTCTATCAAGTTGCTAGATCGATTTGTCCCACTAATAGCACACGCAGAAAGTATCTGTATTCCACAGTCGAGGGTGAAGTGAGTCGACACGACGAACGTTACTTGTGGATTACAATCAAGGAAAACAAGGTATAGATCTATCTGATCAGCTCTCATCATACTATACATGCCTCAGACGATCTATAAAATGGTGTCAAAAAGTGGCATTTGAGCTGATATTTGAAACATCAATAGTTAACGCTTATTTGATTTACAAGGAAACGTATGAAACAAGCCATATGACAATGCTACAGTTTCCTGAAAGTCTCGTGCGATCTTTATGTCTTAGTACACCATTCGAGAATCTGAAACCTGACCCGAGACAACAGCCAACAAGTCATTTGAAGCGCAAACTCGCTGATCACAAGCTTGAAGAAAAGGAAGGATCTAAGCGCAGTGTTGGCAGACGGTGTACTGGCTGCTATGCAATGGGTGGGACACACCAGTCAAGGGAAGCAAGCAATGCAGCGGCAAAGAAAGTAAAAACTTTCTGCTCAGGCTGCGATAAATTTTTTTGTCTTGAGTGTTTTAACGATAAGCATTATGCTATGGAATAAAGGATTCAAATAAGGTACTCAAGACATAAAATGTGATACATTATGTTTAATCTTCTGCTTGAGAAAACAGCTAAAGAAAGTGTCTTTCTATATAGTTTCCCGTTAAAATATAGCGTCGCCCACCGGTGGGCGACATTGGCTCGAAAGGGTTAAAATTCATCATGACAACCGAAGACCACATATTCGTACGGATGTGTTAACCTATCTTGAATTAGAAGGTCTCATAGCGATGCTACATCCACCTAACTCTCCTGACTTATTGCCATGCGATTTTTAGGTTATTTGATTTGATCAAACAAAATTCGAATGATCGAAATGATTCATAATCAGTATATGACGCTGTGATCAGTTTCATGTATTCTCTGAGCAAAGAAGAATATAGAAAAACATTTGAAAAATGGATTGCAAGAATGCAGTTGTGTATAGATAACCAAGGTGATTGTTTCGAACGTTTTCATGAGACAAACAATCGATAAATTCATTCTTGTATTCCTTAGTTCTATCCTCACTACCTATTGTCTATTGTGAAATAAATGGATGGTTAGTTATGATGAAAGAAAGAAAAGGAGAAAATGAAGAAAAAAACAACACGTATGGATGGCTTTGTACACTCTTGCTACCAGATAGAGTTCGAGATAAAACGTTTTTGTGGAAATTGTATTATTTTGACCTTATTTGAATATTGATCAAATAGCATCGAAGTATGGAGTAAAAGACGCTCTGTCCACTGGCACAAACAAATTTTTTTAAATTGACTTATGAGAGAAAACAAATCTTCCGCCACTGCTTTTCGATAACCGTAAGTATTTACAGCCACGTGTATGTGGACAACAAAAAGGTAAAGTACGTAAATTTGCGCACCCGCTAATGATCGATGTGACATAAATGTACAGCAGTCATTCGCAATATGCCCAGCTACGGACATGATTACTGATCGAAAAAGTTTTTTTTTTGTTCTCTCATTTGGTATATAGCACTCGTTTCATAAATCACAGTGCGCAATAATACAATAGAAACAAACTCCATTCATGCGATAGATCAGCCATCGCTCTATCTATATTTATAATGAGAAGAAAAAGTACAGTAATATAGGAGGCGCCAAGTTATTTCACTAACTTTATTCAATATGTAGATAGGTGACAATACGAGCTGTTAAAATTATGAAGAGAAAATTCTTGTAAAACATTATATCTGGAATAAAAACTCTGGATTCATAATACATAGTGTGAGATATGAGGATGCGTGAGAATCAAAATGTTCTTTCCATCTACGCCCATACTATCGCCCCTTTATCTCTATGACAGAATAAACCCCTCCTCGTATAAGAAGCCTCCGGTGGTTTCTAATTTCACAAACGTAAAAAAAAAATCCAGGAGGGCCTCTAGTATATTTCTTTATTTTTTGAAAACTTCGGGTACCTAAGTTTCTACAGATTTTTCACAGTTTTCCTCTGAGGTTATATGCTCTTTTGGGTTACTACTACTTCCTTATCTCGAAATCTACTCGTCTCTCAAAATTTTACTGTGGAAAAGTAAGGATGTATCATTTATTTATATTGGACGTATATGAGCAAAAGCGTGCAGAACAAGATATTTTGCACAATTTCTTAAACTCAAAACAGAGATCCCAGTATAATGGAGTGATTGCTTATGGTTTCGAGTTTTAAAAATCGATATTCATTTTTTGTTTGTGACGTTTCATGAAGAAGACAAATCGTATCTCCTGACGCCAGTATCACATCGTGAAATTTGAGCCATTTCTTTCATGAAAACGCTACCACTTTTATATAAAAGGAAACGGGGGTATATTTTATTTCAACATCGATCGCTAGTCGCTAATTACTATTTCTAAACAGCAGAAATAAGAAAGAATAGAAATTGTTCTATGAAAGATATTTTTACTTCAAAGTCTATATGCAAAATAATAACTTCTTCATTATCTAAAACACTGGAGATAAAATGACGTTTCGAGAACTTTCTGATCGCCTTATGTAAATTAATTCTTTTCATGTAAGCTTACAGTAATACGCATTTTTTATAGAACACATGTACAGATCAGTAAAATATTATTTCTGTTTATCAAATACCCAGGTAAAATTTGATATTTCAGTCTGTCTCACTCATGCGTAGCATTCGACAAGTATGAGGAAAATTGGTAGGAATAAAACAGAGTAATAACGAAAAAAATCTATGTGTAGGTGAGAGAAAAATAGAGACGATTGTGAGAGAGATATGAGTTGCTAGCATAACTATTGTCTTCACATTCAAATGACGGCAAAAGGAGTAAGGTAAAAAGCTGTGATGGACGTATTTTTTTTTGCGCTGAATACGAATATGTATAGATTATTTAGATAAAAAGTCGTCTTCGCGGAGGAAATAAAATAATACTCCAAAAACCAACAGTTGGAGAAAACCATGTTTTTTTCTAGGAATTCGGTGATAGGGTGTGAAAAAAAGTTCGTATGACTTTGAATGTTTCACTCAGTCCATGTCTTTATCGTTAACAAAAATTCACTTCTGTCAAATCACCCCATAATCGAGTGTCTCTCATTGAAGGCGCATCAATCCATTTTCTGATGAAGATGGACATTTTTTCTTTCACCATTCCGCTCCCGAGATGCCAGAGATACATTCTAGGTATTTTCTTTCCTTAACTCACTTTCACTCTCAAGATCACCCTGTTATTTTTCGACGTTTCCTATCATACATACATGGATTTTAAAAATTTTTAACAGTATTTTTCATTTAATTTCTTGTTTCTAATCAAACAATGTGTTTAGAACGATAAAGACCCTTGTGGTAGTCATTATGAGTACTTATCGAGCTGTTTTNACAGTATTTTTCATTTAATTTCTTGTTTCTAATCAAACAATGTGTTTAGAACGATAAAGACCCTTGTGGTAGTCATTATGAGTACTTATCGAGCTGTTTTTTGTCACACATAGATATGTGCGAGATTTATTTTGAAGTGATTTTCTTTGATTGACTTGCATATATACCTTACAGATGTGATGTTCGACTGTTTGAAAAAGAAATTCGTCTTTATGTTGAACAGATGGTAAGGAAATATACTTTAACTGGGGAAAAAGAAACCAGCCACTGTATATGTGTATATGTGAAGAGGCATAATTAGTGGTTCAAAACGGAGTATATCACTTTTTTCTCAACGAAATTGAATCTAGATTCTTTAATCAGCTTGAGCATAGTAGGAATCTGCACGATGCCTAATGAATTGTTTTAGATACACCCATAAACCTTCGGTCACATTTAATCCGCTATGAAACTTTGGCGAGATAGTAATTTCTATAACATATTTCCCAGCAACCGTTTCTAATTTGGAAATCTAGAAGCAAAACAATCCTCATCTGCCCAACTAAGTCATAATATTGTTCATCTAGGTATCCAGCAAGTTTCGAAGAAGTAAAAGATGCTGCCTTTCTTTTAGATGCATCCAAAGTGTATAGTTTGACTAAATTTTCTAATTCAAGATAGTTATTGTAGGAGCTCACCTCATTTTTACCACCTCTGTTGTCTTCGAAAAATTCTTCGAAATCTTGTGCAACCAGAATTGTACCCTATCTATTGTAGCTCTTCGCACGAACTCCACCAATAACTTTTAAAACCAAATCAGTTTCTCGTCAGGATATACGAAAATACGATAAGGACCGTGAAGATTTCTGTTGTTTGATTGCTTCAAATAATTGTCTTATATCCAATATACTGATTTTGGTCTTCAAAAAAGTATTTTCTTCACTTTGTTCATTGAGATCAGAAACGTAGATGGAAATTTTCGAGTCAAAAACATCGTCTGATCGATCGATATTTTTCTTTGTCCGACGACTTCTACTACCTGCTGCTCATTGACATTTTCTTCTTGATTTTTACCGCATTATGGCAATACAAAACCAAATAGGTAAATTAAAATATCATAGGCAGATTCTTCTGAAAAAAAAACGCCAAGTACTGATGCAAATCTATATATTATACACAAAGTACCCATGATTACGAATATTAAAAAACTAGTTCGATAAGTACTCATAATGACTACCACAAGGGTCTTTATCGTTCTAAACACATTGTTTGATTAGAAACAAGAAATGAAATGAAAAATACTGC